TCTGTGTAAATTGAAATGCAAAGAGGATCATAATTCTCAATATTTTGATTAGCAGAGCAGTTGCTTGCTTAGCTAGATGAATACCACGCAACACACAACGTTATCCTCCAAGAAAACATGTGGGGCAACCATGCTGGTAGTAGAGGGGACACCCAACTGTTATATAACCCTACGGCACAGCATTGGATAAGACTAGAGGGGACGTAGGAACGGAACAACCCTTGATGCCGGAAGCAATGTACTAAGGCACGTGACTGATCACCATGATCACCATGATCACCATGATCACAGGTGAGCAGAGTGAGCAGAGTGAGCAGAGTGAGCAGATAATTTGTATGAGGACTCAAATGTATTTAAACACACCACTACCCTTAGGATCAAGAAGCTTATCTTCTTGATCACGATCAATCTTATCTTCATTTTATCTCTTCACACTAAACCTCTCACACAGGCCTCATGCAGATCTGACCCTATTACTTATACCAAGTTATATTGTGCTGCTATAAGCTCATCTTAACAACGCATACCTAAGTACCGCCCTTACCCTGTAAGCCCTACTTAGTATTCATCTTGTTTACTTTAGGCCGCCGCCGTAGCTATTGTTAGTCATCCTAGATATCCCTTGCCGGTATATCTTAACCTGTGATAGTGGCACTACCTCCTGATCTAGTGATCAAGCTCAGAAGCACGATATAAGCCTCGACCTTATCTTATATTTAGTGAGAAGCTTGCTAGGTTAGAGACTCGGTAGCACCAACAAAACATGCATCCAAAAGAGTGTGCTTACATAATTACTGACTAATACTACCTTGCCCCAGACTCTGACGTTGCCAATTTGACTCTTGGGATACTTTATCACCAGTTTTAATCTGTATTTTGGTAGGATTCCTGACGACGTCCGTTATGTTTTCTGATTTTAGCAATGGCACGGAAATTGCCCGAATCCTACGCGTCCCCAGACATTACACTCGTCAACCTCACACATCTTCTTGCTCGCCTCGAAAACAACCTCATATCTCCATCTGCAGATCTCAAACTTGTACATCGATCCCCCTACCATCGAGCTAGAGTTGGCGCTGTGAGCATACCAAGACAATTCCTACATATGCAATCCTGGCTATCTACTGACTACTTCTCAAAGAATATCGAGTACTCGCGGACCCTGCTCATGAAACTCGAACTCTCCCTCCCAAACATCAAAATCCAAGCTCGCAAAGTCTCTCTCCAGACAAACCTTGCCCATAAACGGCAACAAATTAAGGCTCTTAAAGCCCGGCTAGATGAAATCACAGCCATAGCCGAAGCGGAGCCAGATACTCAGACATTCTCGTCGGACAATGAAGAAGATTTACTACCAACACCAAGCGATAGCACACCAGAAACCACATCTCCGCCGCCGCCAAAATGTGCAGATCTAGCGCCAACGAAGGAAGAAGAAACAAAAGATGACGAGGAAGTAGACCAAAGCGAAGAAGGCCAGACTACCCAAGAAGGTAGACACAATCAGACACACTCATATGCCCACATCACAACCCGATACACCGCTAGAACCATCACATCAACACATTACGCAGCAGACTCCACCACCACGACATT